ATAAAGTGAGGAACGGCGGGAGGGTTAGAGTGAGCAGAGGCCGGGGGCTAGCGTGAAGTACGGTGGGAGGGTTAGAGTGAGCAGAGGCAGGTGGGCTTGAGAAAGGCGCGGCCGGCGATTTCGACGAAGGAGCGTCCGGAAGGACATGTGACGACTCCAGGCTGGACTCCGTAGGCGTGGCTGACTTTTAACTTTTATAAAGAATATCTCTTTGGATTTGAGACTTTAGTCTTTGCAACTTTACAGATCTTCTTTATGCACCAAGAGCTTGTAACACTTCAAAGAGAAATTAAAAATTGAAATCGCATCATATGACCCCTTTAAAGGTATAGGGTACAGTATATTAGGTTGTGTGTAATCATAGACGTGCTGATAAAATTTAGATAATGGCAGATCTTTTCCTCTGCATTGTGATGTACATCTAAATGTAAAGGATTATCGGGAAAAAAAAAAAGAAGGGCGGAGAATTGGCTCTATCCAAAGGTTGCTGGCTGGATTTTGAGATGCAAACATTGCACTAAAAAAAATGGAAATATGAGGTGTCTGCAGAACAAAAGTGGGCCTTTCTAAATTTCTGGGTGTTTTCAAACAGGTGGGTGTTAATGAATCATGCAATGAAAATGATGCCCCTTCACCCCTCCCCTAAACACAACCATCACTGTGATGTGAGCAAACTGAGAAGCTGCTCACTACAGAGCCGATGGGTTAAGTTCGACATCCAGCTACCCCTCGGCCCAACCACATCCTACCCCACCCTAATCCTAACCATAACCCTACCCTAACCTTACCCTACTACATCAAGCTCAACCCATTACGTCCAGAGAGGGAGAGCTGGATGTCATTTGGCTCTGCAGTGAGCAAATCAGGTAACACCAAACACCCTCTCCAAACGCCCCTCCATTATGGCCCCACCCACCGGTCTGGTGGTAACTCCCATTACTGTCCTGCAGAGACCAATGGAGGCAGTTGAACACAAGCTTGCAAGGATGGATTTAAACAGACTAAATGATTGGATAAGTCTGGCATACGTCATAGTTCTGGCATACTTCATACACTGTTTTTACATTATTTCAAAAAAATCATGCATCAACGTAATTAGTGTCACCAACCAACGCACAGGCTGAAACCCAGCCTGGAATAACATATGCAGCGAAGCGACTGGAATTCCTCTCAAAGCGTTGTGCAATCTCATCGCCACTCCATGTTTTCCATTTCAATTCAATTTAATTAAGCTTTATTAGCATGACAGTGTAACACAATGTTGCCAAAGCATTAACATATATATAAATAATAGATAGAAAGAAACAATAAAAAAACAACATAGATAATAAATAAAATCTATCTAAATAGATGAAAAGAAAAAGTGAGTCAGTTTAGATTTAACTGTGTTTAACACCTAACATTGTGAATGGCGAACACAAGTTTTGCAGCTAGTGCAGCTGTGTTGTCATCTCCAAGTATGAAGAGAAGGGTAATATTCTCAGTATCATTTCAAATCTGGGGAGAAATGTTCCCTCATATTGTGATTTAGGACAAATCAGCAGAAAGTGTTTCTCCTCCTCTACTTGCTGTAGATCAGTGTCTACAGATCCTCTGCTCTTGCTCGGTCCATGTGCGTCTGTCTTCCTCTCTGTGTTTCTAAATCATGGTTACTTAATCTGTATTTGGAGATTTCTTTAAATGGTTTAATTATTATTCTTAATATCATTTCCCGCTCCCTGCTCAGAGAGCTGCTGGAAACACCTACGCTCTTCTGCTCGTCGCTGGAGGCAGGAGTCACGCAACTACGTTTCAATTCTCGAGTGAAAACAGATCTATTAAAAACAGTGACACTACTGTCATCCTAATAACTATCAGCAGATTTGTTAGGTCACTCGATCTGTCAAATTAGAGGACCGGAACGGTTGTATGAACAGCTCACTATAACTACTCTATCACACGCATTTCTGTGAAGGACTCCCGAGTAAATTAGCCTGCTTTAGTCTGCACTTCACCCCAAAAGAGTTACTGTAACTCTAGGATTAGCCTCTAATAAAATAGGACATGATCAACAAGGCAGATTACGACTCATAAAACTGTACTGAAAAGTAGTGTTAGTGGTGATCAGTTAGCCAAAACACCCTGTTAGACTGGGTTCCTTAAAACAACACTGTTGTAACAAAATAAACAAAAAACAACCCCTGCAACTACCATTTAAACACTGAGAGATTAAATCGGACAACTTTACGTTAAGTGAGTTAGACAAATGTCGTTTGATCCAGGGTGTTTACAAGTGTTATATTAAGCACCTAGCACTGACAGACATGTCTCCCATCATGACAGCTAAGTTACATGAGCTAACATATACACCTTATTACACAGACCCCGGTACTGCGTAAACAACGCTCTCGTGACATCACGTGATAAAATGAAAATAACACTAATTTTCTAGTGATACCTCGCTTTGCTGAAGATGACAAGATCTTTAATCCAGCACGGTGAACTTTACACTGGCGATGTGAAGAGAGAAACGCCTAGGTAGGCCGTGGAGAGAGAGCGCTCTAAGATGGCTACATTCACTCACAGGACTGTCATTGTCTTCTGCCTTCAAAATAAAAGTGCCTTAGTGATGCATTTGAATGATATATTTGACGGGATAATCGCTATAAATATGTCTAATAACTAACATTCTATAAACAGTGGTGGAAAATTTAGGATTATTTTAAAGAATTAAAAATATTCAGTCAAAAAACAACGTTGTAAACAAGATGGATCCGACATGTCTAAACCGGTAACCGGTAGTTAGCGATATATACTCGTTTGATTCAATAGTACTGAGGGGAAAGCAGTCTAGTTAAAAGAAATTACTGGATAGTACACAAACAACACGGACATTAACTTGGGCAGTGTTTGTTTTCTGTATTTGTGTAAGGGAAATTATATATTAGATGCTATAACTTGACAATCTATTCAATAACATATTCACTTAATATTTTATATACTATGTATGATTTAGTGGTGGTAGTGGCATCATTAACAGAAGTATGTATAAAGGTAAAGAAGCAAATATTTAAAGACGAGTAAAATGTGTACTGTCATTGCCGGGGGATGCTTTCGGAATAGTATACTGGTCTTACTACTTCTGCCATATAAATATATAAGTTTATTGCAGAAATAGTAAAATAGCACGCCTTTCCGAATTTATACAGAGTATTTTACAGACTTTATGGTCAGTATTATTGAAGTCCGGCAGATGGCAGTAAGAGTCCTATATGTTTTGCTGCAGCCATAACTGAAGAAAAACCGGTGTTACGAGATTTTCGGTTTCCGAGATTTTCTGTTTCAGTGGGCGGGGCATACATGAATATTCATGAGTTTCCCGTACATGCGCGTGGAACCAGGTGGAACTGAGAATTTCAGTTCACGCTCCTTGTATCTCAACGTCACGTGATTCAAACAAACAAAAATACCGTGTTAAGAAGTAATTTGACTCTGTGTATATAAGTGAACTGAAACTGAGTTACATATAAATCGTAAAAATAAGTCGTATAATTTTTTATATTATACGATATATACGAAACGCATAATGCATTTAAACTTTTACAGCTTCGGTGTAGGACCTGGCATGTGGCTGGCTGATCTGGCTGAATGAATGAATGAATGCTTGGATACAAATGTATAGCAGAGTTGATCGATACAAAGTAGTCTTGAAATTACTGTAAAGAACAAATCTATTAACCATGCGGAGAAGACCACAGTCTGCGGCTTTGACGTCGGCATTTTTAAGGTCTGGGAGATTTGTTGTGCGTTGTTATCACCGACGTTATCTTCTGCACAGCCTAATGTTACAATGTGTTCTAATGCTGCAGTGTTATTTAATATCACCATTTGATGGAGCAGTGTTACCTGAACAAGTCACAGTGTTGTCGGGTGATTTACTGTACTGTCAACATTTAGATTCGCCTGGCAGCTGAAAAGCATGGCATGCGATTAAAATAACTTATTTTAAAAATAATGCTAGATTTTTTTTAATACTAGAATTTATAATGAACATGCTGGACTTTGTTTTAAAGCAGGGCTGGGAGTGAGAAAACACTTTCTACAGCTGCAGCACAGTCGCAGTTTCACACAGAACTGGATATTGAACTTTGGGAGGCCAATTGCTATGGTACAAGTTAAACCAAGCTGTGATATTTATGCATTAATGTATTTTTTCTTCTTCTTTAATACCAATTAACATTTTTTATATTTTTAATTTAGATCATAATTCCCCTGGAATGGTTTCCTCTAAATAAACCCAGTGTTGGAGATTATTTTCACATAGCATATAATGTCATCACACCATTCCTATTACTGAAGGTACACTTTCTTCTTCTACACTAAAAATATTAACAAAAGGATGTATTTACACACACAATTGACCTTAATGTAAAGTTATTGTAGGATGTTCCTTTTCTCTAACCCTTACATATATGTGCTTTTGCTTGAGGTATATCAGTAGAAGCAGACATTTACAATTTATTCATTTAGCAGCTTATATCTGAAGGACTTATAATGTAACCCAGTGATCCTCAAATCTGGCTTGTGAGATCCACTTTCCTGCAGAGTTTAGCTCCAACCAAAAAAACCTGCCTGTGATTTTCTAATGATCCTGAAGACATTGATTAACAAACTCAGGTGTGTTTGATTAGGGTAGAGCTCAACTCTGCAGGAAAGTGGATCTTGCGAGCCAGATTTGAGGATCACTGATGTAACCAGTGCTGGGAGATAAAGAGAGGTGTGACTTGGCCCCTTTGGGCTTGTTGAAGACCAGTCTAACTGCTGCGTTCGGAATCATTTGTAAGAGGTTTCATTGCACATGATGGAAGTCCAGCCAGAAGAGCATTGCAGTAGTCTAGCCTAGAAATGACAAGGGCCTGGACAAGAAGTTGTGCAGCATGCTCCATTAGGAAAGTGTTGTTTTAAACTAAACATGACTGTCTTTAACATTTTGTAGCTGATTGAGCGGAGTCCCACAGCCCTTCCTCGCTCAGCAGTTTACCTCTGCATCATCACCTTTGTCATGGAAGCTAGCATACACCTGATAGGAGACTCTATTAACCATCGTCTCATCCTCAGTGGATACCAGTTTCACCTTGCTGTCAGAGAAAACCCCATTATCAAAGATCTGAAGCCTGCCTCACTGGTACAGTAGATAAACGTACAGATCAACCAAATTATTTGCTCTTTTGGAATAGTTTTTTTTAATGATAATAGTAACATATCCTTTATGTGGTTTCCAGATTGATTCCTTTGCGCTTCTGTATTACTATGATGAGCACTTAGGGCATTCCATGTGGTAAGTATACTTTCCATACTCGTATTTCATCTGTAATTGTGCTATAAGTTACAAGTTTACATTACAATTTATGTGTGTAAAACACCCCACTCTGTACAGTAGATAAACGTACAGATCAACCAAATTATTTGCTTTTTTGGAATAGTTTTTTTTAATGATAATAGTAACATATCCTTTATGTGGTTTCCAGATTGATTCCTTTGAGCTTCTGTATTACTATGATGAGCACTTAGGGCATTCCATGTGGTAAGTATACTTTCCATACTCGTATTTCATCTGTAATTGTGCTATAAGTTACAAGTTTACATTACAATTTATGTGTGTAAAACACCCCACTCTGTTATCATTTATAGGTATGTCCCTTTCTTTCTCATCCTCTTCTTATACTTCACTGGCTGCTTTACACAAGTTAAAGATGAGAAGATGCCTTACTCAGGCTGGCTGCTACTTGGCCCCAGTGCGGTGTACTATTGGTAAGTGAATTATTAATTCAAATTGAAACAACCATTTTACTTCTGTTAAAGGGGTCATATGATGCGATTACAATTTTTCCTTTCTCTTTGGAGTGTTACAAGCTCTTGGTGCATAAAGAAGATCTGTAAAGTTGCAAAGACTAAAGTCTCAAATCCAAATAGATATTCTTTATAAAAGTTAAAAGTCAGCCACGCCTACCTAAAACGGCTCGTTAGAGGAGAAGCAATAATGTACAGTATGTGGAAAATAATGTGTTTTTTGAACCTTAAACAGCATAAGCACATTTCATTACACCAAATACACAAAATAATGTTCTTTTTAGCAACGTCATATGACCCCTTTAAGTAATTTCAAGTGAAACAGAATATTTAATGAAACATGAATGTGGTTTATTTCCTGCAGGTATCTGATTACTGAGGGGCAGATCTTTGTCCTGTATGTCTTCACCTTTTTTGCCATGGTTGCCACTGTGATGCGCCAGAGGCGGATGGGCTTTGTGTTAGACAGCAATGGCCGTTTCCTTTTCTATAACTTCATCATTACTCTGGGATTAGTTCTGGTTTGGGTCACATATCTGTGGAATGATGAAGTTTTGCGCAAAAAGTATCCCGGTATCATCTATGTCCCAGAGCCTTGGTCCTTCTATACCTTACACATCAAAGGCAGTTAAATACTAACAGCAAATCTGAACTAAACTTCATTGACATTTCTCCAGTATAATGCTTTGACCAAGTTTAATGGCACTTTGAGTGAAACTGAGAAGATTTACTTAAGTTCCAGTGTTACTTAAATGGATTGTTCATCCAAAAATGAAAATTCTGTCATTTACTCACCTTCAGGTTGTTCCAAAACCCTCAAGGTGTTCCAAACCTGTATGAGTTTCTTGTTGACCACAAAAGAAGATATTTTGAGGAATGTTGGTAACCAAACAGTTGACAGTAGCCATACTGGTTACCAACATTCTCAAAATGCCTTCTTTTGTGTTCAACAGAAGAAAAAATCAGGTTTGGAGCAACTTGAGTACGAGTAAATTTGAGTATGAGACAGTTTTCATTTTTGGGTGAACTATCCCTTTAAGGAGTTGGATCTAGCCTAGGTTTGAATCTTCACAAGGCAAACTATTCAATGACCTGTTTGTAATTTTGGTGTACTGAATAATAAAGTCATTTATTTATTGTGGCTTACAGTAAAAATGTTGCTTTTATGTCCTTGTTTTATCTGAATAAAATTTGTACTCCCTATATATGTTATGAGTCACTGAGTGTGGTCATGAGCTGCACCTACTGTAGCAGACAGTATAATGTGACAGTTGGAATCCTGTATCAATGTTCCTATGACAACGAGGCTATCAATTCCATCAACACTGCAGTGGACTTTAGTTCCTACAGGTAATCCAGAGGGAGTGACTCTTTCCCTGACCAGCCGAAACGTGTGTAGACATGGTGAGTTTGATATTCTTTTTCTATTCTAAATTTTATTTTTCATTGATTCACGGTACATTTTTTTCAACTAAGCTGTTTTTTAAAACTCTTTTCAGGCAAAATTCTTATCACAAACTCAGATTGATGGTAAGCCGTGATACACAGAAGTAATGTGTGTGTGCTTTACGATCCATGAATATAGTAAAACAAAATAATTGTTCTTTTAAAAAAAAAATGACATGCAGTAAATTAAGAAATTGTGGCATTGGTTATACTGTAGTTTCCTTGTTCTCGTGCAGAGTTCAAAGAATGTTTCTCGCTTTATGACAAGAAGCGAAAGGGGAA